TTTTTTTTTTTTTTTTTTTTTTTTAGTATCTAGGCCTTCAAGCATGAAGCAAGAGCAATGCTTTTGCAGGGCTAGGTTCAACTCTTAACTCTATCGCAAGCTTCCTATATCTTTGAAACAGCCATTTTTGCCCGATTTGCACATTTAAATACTTCCAAGGCCCTCGGCCAGCCCTACTTTTCTATAATTCTGTTCCATAAAGAAATTTATAGGGCACTCACATGGCCTTCATCATTCTATGAAAATAAATATCGTTTATCCAATGGATAGGAAATAAATACTGTTCATTTATCTTAATTTGAATGACACTATTGCTGTGGATATAGTAGAAAAATGAAGTTACAGTAAGTGTTGTAGAAAACTTTAAACCCTAAGCATGTAATTTCTCCTAAATCAGAACACTGTTGGTGACCATGCCCTGAGAAGGTGGAAAAAGTGCAAGTCACATGAAGCAGCCTGCATGAGAAAGGAAAGGGCAACCCAGCTTACAATTGTGTAGTGTACCCCACATGCACGTTGTTCTGGGTATAGTATTCAGAAGTGCAAATGTAGTTTTTGTGCCACTCGATTATGTTGAATAATTTCTATACACATTTAGATTGCACACCAGCTGGATTCAGACAAATGGCTAGCATGCCTACTTGTAGACAAGAGACTCTTTGAGCATTTACTTCATTTTTATTAGGAAGAAAAAAAAAAAAAAGAAAGAAAAAAAGGTGTCTGGAATCCCCATCAGCATGGTTACAAATTTCAGGTACTTACCATTCCCCAAACTGCACAGCCTTCAGCACCCCTACAGCAGCTGTACTCTGCCAGTCAAACCCCTGACCAACATGATCAGCATGGGCTCGTGTTCGGTCTTCAAAGAGAACCTCACGGGGCTCACTAGTCCGAGGTAGGTACTGGAGATTTTTTATTTCATTCATTGACCTTATGAAGTAAGGCAAAGACAGAAGTTAAGAATGTTTCTGACATTTCAGAAGAAAATGATTCTGCTTTCCTCTAAGTATAAAATACTTTTAAAGAAACACTAATATCCTGTATGGAGACGTAAATCTTCTTCAGCTATCCAGTCTTTCTGGAGGTTAAGTATGTACTCAGAGACTCTTAAATAGCAACATTTATATCTAAAGTAAGCCTCCTAACTCAATTTGTCTTACAAGAACACTACTTAAGAGTACAGTGTTTCTTGGGGAGGCAGAAAGTATCAAAGACCACTCTTAATTCTAGTCTAGGCAAAGTGCTACAGTGGAGGAAGCATACAAAGATTC